TCCATGAAATATTTTTGCGGGGGGGCCCAAGAGAGTCTTGCTACGCCACTGTTGGTTCGCCAACCAAAAACACCGCGCCGTGTAACAATAACCTTTCGATGTAATTCTTTTAGGTTAGTGGTTTTCAACCTTTTATGGCTCGTGGCCCCCTTTTGCACTCGTGGCCCTCCTGTTCGCCATTTCAAAAAACGAAACGTGTTAGATTTTATTAGGTTTTTACGACCTTTTATTGAATGCAAAAGCAAACCACAGACAAGAAAGCTTTTCAGCATACAATCAAAGGTAATCTTACGCCTGGGACTGTCTGAATAGGTTCCTTAAATTAGGCACCGTCTTTGAGATAGCCAGACGAATGTCACTGTCAACATCAAGACGGTTTCTATATTTTCTTTCAATAAGAAGAACCAGATTCGCATATATATATATAAGTTGCGGCAAATTGAACTAGCAGTGAAGAAGCCTTTTTGCTAAGTAGTGGGTAGGAATCTGATATGTAATTTCATAGCTGCATCCAAGAGCGGGCTTGTTTCGGGCTCGCTTTTCCTCCGATAGAAACTCGAACTTGGCCAATGTTGCTTTCTTGTAAATCTAACTTATTTGGCAACCAAGAAACCGATGTCAACGTCTTTCACCTGGGGATGATTATTGTCACGGGGTTTTGGAGTTTATATGGACATAATGAATCATTGCCCAATACATACTTTGGTAAAGTCAAAGCCAACGTAACTGTCGTTCTATTTTCGAATTTTGGGCAATAGGAATTTACAAATGGCTTTTTGCGTCTGTAATACGATAGCGAAGGTTATCTCGCAGTCTATTGAAACTGCCTACCGGCGAACTATTTTGATTGGAAGATCTCAAATTTCATTATGATCAAACAATTCACGCAGAAGCGATTGCAAATATTCAGGCGATGAAACTGCAGTGAACGCCTAAACGGAGATTTTTATTTTAAAAAGAAAGTATGCGAACAAAGTCGCTTTATGATCAATTCCCAGCCTCATGTCGTGGCCCACCTTGAACTGCTTCGTGGCCCCCGGTTGAGACCCACTGTCTTAGGTATTAGCATGTCACTTCAGTGGCGTAGCATCCACCTCCACGGTCGTGGGAGGGCCCACAGCGCAAGGGGGCCCAAGCGGTTAAAATTTGGAAATTTAAGCCGCAAAACCAAAAGCTGCATTGCAAAACCAGTAATGCACATCTTACAACGTTGATGTGTGTTCTGCTCAAATCGTTTTGTTACGTAACAATGCCAGGGAGTCGTCGATGTCAAAAGCAAAACCTCTCAGTGGCGCACAGAAACGCAGAAAAAGGGCAGAAGAGAAAGGACGCATGAAAAAAATTAAAGTGACCAAGATAAACGGCAAATTTTAGGTTACCATTGCTTTTTAAAAGCGACATGTTATGCTTTCCGACGAAATAAATAAAGCGTTGTTTTAGCTTATGTCCGAGAGTTCTTAGGATCATTTCCACAAAATATTTTTGTGTGGGAATGGGGGGCGAGAGTCTTGCTACGCCACTGTGTCACTTCACCACTCATATATATATATATCCAGTTCCCAAGCCACTTTGCTTGGACATGGAACCCGCGTGACGCTAAACCGATCCCTTGGATTTCGCGAGAATTACGCCACGGTTCTTGCTAAAGAGCGGAAAGGACAAATTTGAATCGAGTCGTATTTGCGTATTGTTTCAATTCTTTGTTTTGCATCTATTGCATCAACACCGTTTCGTAAAATATAATATTATTAGCTTAAAATTGCCAAAGTTAATATACAAACGGTGACGAAAAAGATCAAAGCCGGCACAAGCGATTAAAATGTCGAATTCACTCCTTATTAGCGTGCCTTCAATATATGTCGCCGATACGAACGCATTGTTCTCTCAGGAATATAAAGACAAACTTCGACATTGGCAATAAAGGCGTAACGTGGAACGGGGGAGGGCGAGCTAACACGAAGCGCGTGATTGGCGGTGCGAATGAAGACCACGTATTACCCGCTGCGTATCTTTAACAATAATGTGAGATGCTCCGAAGGCACTCTCGTGCAACGTTCCCTCCAAGCTGCGCGGCCGGGCAGCTGGCAGAGAATGTCCGCGCAGTGCTTTCGTTCTGCCGCGCACTGCATAAGTATTAAAATGTTGTGTTCTTTCCTATTTTTCCGCGCAGACCCTTTTTTTCGAGCTCACATGGACTTCGATTCCGCGCAACTAAGCAAGCGCTTAGACTGAATGAACGTTGCTCCCATGCACCTTATTATTGTAAGAAAACAGTTATAATATCGTAACTATTAACCATTTGGCTTTATGAGTAAAAAATGTTCATGTTTTTGTTATAGGTGTGCCGCGAATATTTAAAGAACTCAATAGTGTGCCGCGATATAAAAAAAAGGTTGGGAGCCACTGCTCTAATAGTTGATAAACAAAAATGGATCATTGAATTAGACCGGAAAAAAATCATGCATAGTGACTTTTGGTCGTACTCCGGCGCCTCAGATTCGAAAACATTTCGCCCCCCCCCCCCTAATCCTGTGTTATTTCTCCCCGGTAGACAATAATCAGAATTTCTCATTCACATTTTTTAACAGTCGAATCTCAGTTTCATCCCTCCTTAAAGTGCCAACTTGAATAAAATTCAAATCCTGTGTTACTTTCCCTAGTAGAGAAAAAAACAGGCTTGATCTACATTTGCAACAGTTATATGTTATAAGCTTATGCATATGGCCACGTTCCGAGTGAAAAGTGCCAATTCAAGCTCATGTATATGGCAACATTCTGTGCGAAAGTGCCAATTAACCTTGCATAAATAAAACTTATACTGTTACACTTCCCCAGTAGACAAAAAACAGACTTTCTTACATTTTCAACAGTCAAATCTCAGGTATATTCACCATACAACACAATACACATTGGATTAGTAAACATTGGAATCATAAAACACATCCTTGCTTTGGTGGGAATGTCTGAATAAGCCTTAGCGAGAGAGTTATTGGTTGTAGTGAATATTTGGTACAAAAGGTGGATTTTACAAGAATTTCTTAAAGTTCGGCAAAAAAAATTGAAAGGTTATAAGTTCTGGGTTAGGTTTTACCTAATAATTTACCCAAGACTTGATTCAAATCTGAATTCTGTAAAGTCCCAAAGCAAATTCTGTGAGAAACAAAGATTTCAATAATATAGATATATCTAAAGTTTGACATTGTAGCCAAAAAGTCATGCATTGAGTTTTAAAATCGTAGCAGAGATTCGACGGATAATCACAATTTGGTGGAAATAGCCAAATGTAGGTTTAAGTTTCGTCAAACTTGTGGCATAGACTTAAATCACAATTTGGTTTAAATTTGAGATAAGACAGAGTTCCGAATTGAAACTTGCTTGTCAGGCATTTAAAAATGTGCCAAATTTGGAATTTGAAACAACTTAAATAATGATTGAAATGAATTCAATTAGGTTCTTTAGAAATGTGTTTGATATTCGTTTGCAGAGAATAGAATACGCATTTTCAGACCCTGATTAAAATCTGACTTTTTTAGTTTTCGAATCGATAATGATTAATGTTGAATCTATGGAATTAAAATTTATTTGAGGTAAATTAACTGCTTCACTCTGACCATGCAGTATATTGAGAAAATTGATTCGTTTTGAATATTTTTTTAAAATTATTCGCAGAATTTTAGAATTCGTAACAAAATGGACATGGGCAATCAGACATTTCCACCAATGCTTTCATTTCATAAAACATCTCAAAACATAAAACGACCATTCAAAACATACAAAATATTCAAAAACAGTCACATGAGGGCAGCATTCATTCACTTTGAATCATCTAAATAATGAGGGAGAAGTCCAGTATTTGAAAATTTACACTAAAATTGCAATCAATGGAAAATAGTAACATCACAATACTTCAACTGTATACCAGACACTTCAAAAAACACAATACACATGTAATGTTCATAGCATTGGCTTTTTCTGATTGAAAATTTAACTAAAATGGAAATTCTGGAGAAACTTACAGATAATGAATAACAGTTTCGAGTCACACACAGTCTAGTTGGAACATTTGCAAACTATTCTTCACAGCATCAAAATATGAACTTTCAAAAATGGCACTGGCAAATCAGACAGCAAACTAATATATACAGAGAATAAAGTATAGATGCACAAACTAGAGCCATGCATTTCATACTTTATTAGGGATGGGGTATTCATTATTTATCCTTGAAGGGGAGGAAAGGTGATAAGGCAGCTTTCTTTGTCTTATATCAAACTATAGGCTTTTGTTCTATTGCCAGGTAGAATACAAGACTTTCGAATTTATCAACTTGTTGAGAGTCGAATAAGCATAAAGGTTGTTACAACAAAATGAGAGAAAACTATGGCACATAAATTGCGACAAATTTCAAATCTTAGAGACAGCTATGATAGTGGATTTAAACCAATTTTGGGATCTGTGAAACCAGTCAGATTTCCACATCACCCCAGGAAAGAGAAAGCTACAAAAAGGTCTTATCACAGCCTCTTCTAGATCGGATACGAGAATGGATAACCAGTTTATTGCTTCATAAGCATGGACTTTAGCCTAGGAATATTGTTCACTGAAAAGGGATATCAGTTATAACTGGATCAGTTAGCAGGTAACACACAGTTTAGATGGAACATTTGTACACAAAGCAGTGGAAACATCACATCATGAAAATATGAACTTTCAAAAAGGCAGTGACAAATCAGAGAATAAAGGAAAACCGATATATACAAAGAATAATCATACAAATTTGAAGCCTAGGATTGGGACTTTACAATGGCAAACCGAAAGGGTATAATAAGAAAAGCACCACACTTCAGTAAATTTGTGAAGGGCAAACCAATATATACAAAGAACTAGTCGACCAATGGGGTATAGGACGAAAACATGCATTGTTAGTTTAATTTTATCAGCTAGGTAGGCATTATTAGCACAAAATCTTGGGAAGCTTTAACAGATCGATTACTTGCATATCTGGTTGGTTATGACTTTGGTATTCTCATACAGAAAAAAGAAGAATGAAGTTATTTTAAACAATTCCAAATAAACTTGCCAAAAGCTGACATGCAGAATAAAAAATCAAAATTTCATAAGTTGGATGAGAATAACGAGCATATAATTTGTTTCTAAGCTTTAACAGAGATATTAAATCATTACGACTCATTTTCATATTGAAATAAAGTTGATTAATTTTTATTAATGAAAGAAAGACTTGGCAAAAGCCTGTTTTAATAGTCTGATAAGCAAGGAAAAAGTTCCAACAGGGAATGGCAGAAAAATGCTAAATCTGATAGTTTATATACATCAAGATCTAGAATGTTAATAAGAATGAAAAGGGTGATGAAGGATAGTCCAATCCTCAACTGCTAATAGTACAATTAGAAATTACAACCCTGGTTAAAGAATTTTTAAATTAATACACAGTCATTCTTGTCACATATAGGAGTTTGAATTAGTAAATGCAGAAAAGTTTGAGCAGCGATTTGATTGGTTGCTGAATTTTATAATTTTCAGAAATGAAGGTTTTTTACACTGGGAGACTCAAAAATGATCATATTTGAGTCTCATATGAATATTCTGTTTCACTGACATTTAAATTTTCTTGTCAATAGTAACACTTGAAGATAAAGTGTCGGAATTGTAATATTACATCCTGTATCACTTCCTGGGTCAAATTGTCAAATTCAAGTTTGTATCAACAGCAAAAAGTCATTTTATCACGCATCAAAAAAATTTCAGAAAGTCTGTGCTTTTATAAAGTGTACTGAGTAGTAGCTGGTTGTGCTGTAAACTGGAATTCACCGTTCACCGCTCCTGGTGCGAGTTCTTCATGCTCCTGGTCTTCTTCGGCGAAGAATCGGTCAATGATATGTAACGCCATCGAGTAGACAGTTTCGTTCTCGTGCTGCTGTAATTTTTCGATTTTATCGATGCCTTCGCACTCTTCGATAACGTCACAAAGCTCATCTCGTTTGTTCATTTTTTCAGCGGTTATGAGCAGATTCGAAATTCCGTCGAGACAAACGTGGAGTATTTTTGTTTCTTTGGAAGCCAGCATTCCACAGAGACCTGGAACGGCTCCAAGATTCATCAAATAGTAAAGTTGTTCCAAGGACGCACCAGACGTGAAGTTTGTGACGGTCCAGCAAGCTTCTTTTTGAGTTTTATAGTCACCGTGTGAGAGCAACTCAACGATTCGTGGCATAACGTTTGCGTCAATCACTGCTTGAATTTGGATTTGAGTACCAGCTGTGATGTTGCTCAATGTCCAAGCAGCCTCCTTCTGTATTGTCTGCTTTTCGTGGTGCAAAAGCTGTGAGAAGACTCGAAGCACTCCCAAGTCTATAACAAGTTGGGTTTGTTGGTCAGTGCCAGTGACGATGTTTCCGAGGGTTCGCAGGACCGGTGTGATGACAAGAACATCTTGAATACTTGATAGGATATGCACGAGTGTCTCGACAACGCCGGTCTTAATGACGAGTTCGATTCGTTCGTTTGGTCCGTCTGTGATGTAGCTGAGTGCCCAGCAAGCGTCTGTTCGAACTTGCTTATCGACGCAATTAACAAGCTTGACGATCGTCGGTAGAAGTTGAACGACATACGGAAGAGAAGTGTGTGGATTTTTGTTTCGGCATAGATTCGAAATCGTCCACGTGAGATTTTGTAAAAAGGAGACTTGTGCATCGTCTTTCACGAGAGCGATGAGTGGTTTCACAATACCTTTATCAAGAAGATAGTCACGCATCGGCGCTCCGTCACCAGCGATATTGCCAAGCGCCCAAACTGCTTGTTCAACAACATTCATGGCAGAATGAGAAAGCATTTCAATGAGGTTTGGGACGGCACCTCCATGGACTACAGCACAAGTTTGCTCACTATTTCCCGATGCAATGTTTGTCAGGGCCCAGGCAGCTTCAAATTGCATCTGTGGATTGTCATCCCATTTCAGGAATGTTACAAGCTTCGGAATAATGTTAGCTTCTATCATTTTGTTAATAGGTGGATGCCGCTCACGAGACAAAATTTTTCTGGCATTTTGTGTGCAAAGAAACTGTTTCTCTTTGTCAGAATCACAGAAAATACCTTGCACAATTTCCTCAAAGTTCATGGATATTCCGGTCGATGTAGAATATTCACTGTTGATCTCTTTCAGTGGGCTTGTGTTCAAGTCTTCCAGAACGATATTTCGACGCTTCAGAAGTTGTTCAGCGCGATGATGTTTTCGAATTTGAACCGCCCCTTCTCTTCGCTTATTCTTCAGATGATCCATCGTTTTCCCGGTGTTTTTATAACTACGTAAAGATGCACTCGACGACATTTTTACTGATAAGTTTTCTCCAATGAAACTCGAAAAATAATAATAATATAGCTTTGAAAAACGTCCGCACAGCACAAACAAATCAACCAAAATGAATCGAAATCACCGCGTTTCCTCGCTGGCAAATATCAACCAATCAGAAGACTTAAAGAAAATGACGTCATACATCAGTGTTGGCCGGAGTTGAGAATTGTATATCCTGAAATAAACAATTTTCGTCATTGCTTGTTTTCTTTATAATTTTTATTAATTTTATAAATTTATATAGGACGAGTGAAAGATTTATTTTAGTCAGGAAGAAAATGACTGTACAACTGAATAAAAGACCAAACATAATTTATTTTGGTATTGATTAGAGCAGGAATGGCGAACCTTTTTTTACAAAATGGGTCAAAAATTATATGAAAACAGGGCCGTGGTCGTAGGTCATATATACCGAATCGCTGTTCGCGTCATTGAAAAACTTGCTTTCTTTTCCGCAAGTTTTATAAACCTCAGTTGGTATTGTGTATTTTTGAGCTTTGCACACTTACACCAAAACTGAGGCGATTTTACAAAAATTATGTGCACTGATTCTTATCAATATATATTAACAAAACATTTATTATATTATGGCTAATGATTTCATCGTTTCAAGACTCCAAGAGACTTATTACCACTGTTATTTGAGATTTTTTAAGTCGCTAATTTAAGCTCATAAATTTTATTTTAAAACGCAATTCATGCGGAAAAAATGAACTGATAACATCTTGGTTTTCGTATGCCCGCCCAGAAATTCTGATGCACTTCCGGTGTATGCACACTCGTATAAAGTCACTGTAGCAGGACATTCAAAGAGAGACGCTGTAGCAAAACCAGAACCAGAATTAGTTTTCGGTCTTCTTTCACCATAAAATTCATTTTTTGAGAACCAGCGGACTAGACCGATAGATAAAAGCTGTCACCGATCTCTAACAATGTCTTGAAAAATCTCTCATACTTACTTCGCTGTCGAAGTTATCCAAGGTATACAAGCGCGCATTTTCATCTATCTCGGTTGGTTTATTTGGCAAAAAGATTATTGATAGCAAGCCAGGAAGTTTTTAGTGAATTGTTTAAACATAATCGTTACGTAGCATTGTGTTTTTCGTCCTTCCGGCGCGGCGGTGTGGCTCAACGGGCTAAGCGTTAGGAATACGCTCGCCACCGCACCTCTAACTACTCTGCGTGGGTTCGCAGGTTCGAATCCCATGCAGGGATGGTTATGTGCGAGAGGATTGCTGGACTCCTCGCCGTCGTTGGGTGGTTCACGTAACCGCTGGTCGGTTACGGCTTCCTCCACCACCAAGTCCATGCTTCCAAAAACAAACAATACAGTAAATCTAATCCCATACCCGACTTGGAATGGTAACCGGACGAGAGGCCGTGGTTCGCCATATGGATAAGCCGTCTTATTGGCTTTCCTCTCCCCCGGGATAAATATGTAAATCCTATCCTATCGTATCCTTATTCTGATAAATTTATTGTGGGACGAATTAATCAACTTCTTCACGGGATCCATATCTACAAATTTTGTGAACTCCATAACTCTAACATCAAGAACGTTCGCTGACTATTCCAACATTGCAAGAACGACTTCAAGCAAAACACTTGGATTTCACCGACAATCATGCAGTGGCGTAACTACCCATTGGATCTCGTGGATAAATCCATGGGCGCACGTTGCTGGAGGGCGGCAAAATGCGGCAAAACGTTTCAAATGAACAAAGGCAGTCACATTAATTTATTCCCAGAGAGACTCGGACTTAAAGGACCTAATTTAACACCAAAACTAAAAAATTGTGACTCATTATGGGGTATCTGTGACGGCATAATGATGCTCGTGCTGTTGAAGTCATAATAGAATGTTGGTTGTAACTTGTAAGCTATTGCATTGTTCGGTCAATTTAGCTTTGGTAGTTTAAAAGTTTTCAGTTCATTTCACTTTCTCGAGAAGACAGGAAGGGACCGTGAGGTCATCTAGTCCGTACTGAAGTGCAACGCAGAATAAAAGATATTAATTCTTAGGCCTTGTTTATCTCATGTGAAAACCACCAACTTAACCTTGCAGGAGTTCACGCAGTGGGATCTTCAGAAGTTTCTGTAATCTTTTGAAAATAGACCTATTTATTCCTTTTTTTCTACCGTATGTGTCAGATGTGGTAAAACGAGTGATTGACACACGATGGAGTGCGCATTACGAAGCTGTGAAAGCGCTTCAGCAATATTTCATTGATGTGGTGGGTGCATTAAACAAACTTTGTGATTAAAATGAAAACATTGATACACGAAGACAAGCGCGCGGAATCTTGGATGCGATTCAGCGTTTTTCCTTCGTTTTTTCCACAATTTTGGTTGGAAGTCCTAAGAGAATCTCATGACACTCAAAAATATTTAAAGCGAAAAGGTCTGTCTGTAGAAAAATGTACCCACAAGATTTTATAGAAGCATTCATAGAAATATCGATTGAAGAGAGGCGGGTCAGAAAGGATCCCTGGCGAATATGCAAAAGACGTGGGTCTTTCGGTTGTTAAAGAAATCAAGAGATGCATGTTAGAAGCTATGAACCGGTTTCGGAGTTAAGCGGAAAAGCGTTTCAGCGTTATGTGTTTGCTAAATGGAGTATTCGGTTTTCTAAATTCCCACTCCTTGTTGCGAAGTGACGGTATCGAAATAGAAATGGACAAATTTGAGAAAATGTATGCTGATGACGTAAATTTTACCGAGTTAAGACCAGAAATTTCTAGGTTTAATCGACAAGTACAATCAAATGGTTTTACATTTAAAAATGACGCTTCAGCGCTGGACGTTCTGCAGTGGTGAAGCAAACATCGTTTATGTGAATCAACACCCTATTTATTTATGAGGTTGAGCTTTACCTGTTGCCGTTTCTATCGTAAGCTGCGGAAGAAGTTTTTCAAAACTTAAAGCTGTTAAAATCTTACTTGAGATCAATTATGGGAGAAAGCAGGCTGTCTGCGCTAGCAATATTGTCCATTGAAAGTGATTTAGATGACACATTATCTTTTGACGATATAATTTTGAATTTGCTTTAATGAAAAAAACTAGACGAATTGAATTTGGAGCTGTCAATAAAATTTACCAATTACTGCTTTAATTCTTCGGCTGTGTGGAATTTTATTCAGCTTTTACTACGGTGTTAAGGGGGCAGCATTTCGTGCAAAGATGCGGGGGCGCCACATTGCGTTGTTACGCCACTGCAATCATGAGGCCCGTTTGGTCCAAAGCAGAAGTGTGCAGCCTTTAATACAGAAAGGCCAAATACAAATAACTGGGTGAAACCACGGGCCGCACCTTTATTTAACATAGAATTAGGCACAGGCACAAAAACTTTGGTTATTGGTCTTATTATATGCGCTGTTCGCTTCGCACAAGCTCATGAATAAGCAACGCAATGCAGAAGAATTGAACTTACTCGCACGAACTAGATTAAACTAAACTTAAAAACTTGTTTCGCACACCATTCTAAATTGGCATTTCTCCACGGGTCGCATAATTTGTTCTTGTGGACCGCATGTTGCGTACCTTCGGTCTAAAGAAGTGGTTTCCAACCCGACCCCTCTCGCATTGCTTGATATAGTTATTTCACAGGATGTATTCACTTTGTTGAGTGTGAATTACCTGAACATAAAGGGGTTTGAAATCTACCAATCAAAATAACACTATAAATGCCATTATAGGGGGGTCATGAGTGCTAGAAGTCTCGGGAAAGAGACCACGAGCCATAACATGCTGGAAGCCTCTGGTCTAAAGCATGCTATACTAGCGTGGGTATAAATTTAGAACATATGTATGTTGGGTGAGTATACAAACAGGGGCTTTGGCAACCTCAGGGGTTCCGACAGTGCAGTCCAGAATTTCTGCAAATTTCAATTCAAATACTAGAGTCTATATATTTTAATATACGTACATGTTTAATTATGATGAAATTAATTATAATAATGGCAAACCTATTAGCTATACATAAATAATATAAACTCTCGGATTTAATTGGAAAGTTGCGAAACCCCTGGACTGTAGTGGTGCAACCCCGAGTTTATATTCAAATCCTACAGTCTATATCAGCGTTTCCCAACCTTTTTTGGTCGCGGACTATTTTCTCACCGGCGAAAACCTTTGCGGACTCAAGGTGCGTTTATTGCAACCGTACTCTTTGTGAATGAGCAATTAAAGCAATTACGTGCTCGTTTAAAGAGCCGACTTTTTTAGTGTATAATGGTCGTTTCCGTCGCACAATATTCAATCCATGACAACGACGAGAATTTAAAATATCTTTCTATTTTAATTTAATTGTGTTGATGGTAACTCACGGTTGCGTCGACTTACGACAAGATGAAAGCATTACTTCTTTAAAATGCCACGGCAATCTGCGAACATAATAATGTAAGAATAATATTGCCCGATTATATTTAGTTTAGATCAGGGATGGCCAACCTATGGCGCATGCGCCAAACGTGGCGCATTGCATGATTAGAGATGGCGCATTGCATCTTTAACCCTTCCATGCCAAAATTGTTAATTGCACTTGGCTTCTCCACGCCAAGCCGTTTCTTTGCGATTTACATGGTGACTTTTGATTGTACCCAAAATCTATTCTCCTTACTCCACGTCGCCCATTTACGGCTTGTTGGAATTAGAAACAACAGGCGATTATCGACGTTAGCTTTTGGACGGACTTTATGACATTCATTCTAGACTTTTAGCAAAAATTAGTAAAATTTACTATTTTTTCCCTACTGAAGTAAAAAATTTAGAACTTCTGGAAAAATAGAAAATCGTCATTTATCAGCTTGAAACATGGATTTTTCATTGCCCAGACGTTTGTGAATTCGACAAATCTGAGCTTGTAGTACAACACTTATAGCGCTCCAGTACTGTACGTACCAATGTGGAGGCAGTAAAGCAAGGAATCATAAGGAAAAATGCCCTGGTACGTATACTACGGTAACACCAGTAGTGGGATTCAGCCGGTTCGCACCGGTTCTATAAAACCGTCTCACGGAATTTTCAGAGATCAGCGAACCGGTTAGCTTTACTAACAAACAAAAAAACATGTAACAGAA